CGTCCAGTCTGCTCGTTCTAGAAATGTCTGTTTTCGTTAGGACTGTCGTCAGTTGCCGATAATCGGAATGGATTTGCATCACTTCAAATGGCGGAGAAATAGGATAAAATGTGTCGGAACAATATAGGCAAATGCAAAACTATTTGCGGAATTAATAGGTCTGAATCAAGTTATAAATTCCAATAAATATTAATTTAATTGATAATAAATAATGGATTTATAAAATGATGAAAATATGGGTAATTCTAAGGTCGGATAAGATACAAATATATACATTTTAATGGATTCTTCGGTACCATTTACAACTATATAACTACTTTTAATTATTATTATAATCAAGCATGCATCCATAATTTCTACAATTTTACAAATAATTTTTACAACAAAATTACAGTTGGACCACAAAATTGTTTCTGTGCATATCCATGTGTACCTTCCATCGATTAAGCTCGCAACTTTTCTTTGATGTCGAATTCTATTTGTGCACGAGCCGTGACCTCAAGGAAAATCCCATTCAAGGGCGAAATTCATTAATAATTCGGCAAACGTTAAAGACACAAAGTCAGGCCGGCGTCATAAACGAAAGACAAATAGATGGCAGAAAACTTGGAATTAAATGTGAAAGGACATTCCGGCTTGTGGCTTTTGTTTCGCCAACTTTTGCCAGCATTGTTTTGCGGAATTCTTTCTGGCAATATGCAGCAATTATTAAGATTAATACTCCTAATATGATGAGCGTCGGCCACAAGAGCGTGACCGAGATGTGTGAGGTCGAGCTGATGTGTTTTTAATGAGTTGAAGGACCCAGTGCTTCCCGGCAGCCAGCAGCAATTAAGGCGCATTAATTAATATTAAATATTTCAATGGCAATTAAATGAAATAATTCCTAGATGCCCACCGAACAGAGCCGCAAAAGCCGCAAGTAGGCGATGGATGGAAAACTTTTTGGCCAGTCGAGAAAATGAAAATTTCATTAGCCGCAGAGGCGAATTGGATTGCGACCCGCCATCCCACCAACCCCAACTTGCCATTCAAATTCCGAGTGAAAAGTTTTCAACTTAGCCCAAACAGGACACATGTTACGAAATTAGCAAATAAATTTCAAGTAGGACCGAACTCGCTGCGCGCATTCCAAATGCAAATGAAATGCACGCGATTGTTGATCGGGGGTTAAAAGGGGGGAATTTATTTAACCAAACTGAACTGAAACGAACTGAAGTGAAACCCGCGCTGCATTTCTTATGACCGAGGGCAGGAAAATATTTTCCGAGGCATTTCAATTTGGCCCCGCAATACGCGTAATTGAAATTTGCATTTGTGTGGAACGTAGGCGAAAACAAAGCCGTAAAGGAAAGAAAATGAAATGAAATGAAATAGGAGGCGGTGGCCAAGACAGGCGAAGAAAAAAGGAGGAATATGGCAAGAAACTCCGAACTCTGAAGAAAGACCAATTAAGAGCCGCGGCGTGGAATTTTGATTGCGGTTTGCAAATTTCCAGTAGGCCAGCCGAGGAATCTGGCAAAGAGGCCGAGGCCTCACACGCGGTTTTGGCCCCCAGGAAGGTAATGAAAAATTTCATTTTTCCTTCATTTCCCTGCCTGCTTCCTGTGCCGGTCACTTTTCAGCACATTAGGACTGTTGATATTTATTTAAAAGCCAGCGGCCGAAGGAGCTGCCAGCGTTGACATTCAAGTCAATCGAAAAGTTTACACAAAACGCGAGGCTGTGTCCTCGGTCACCTGAGTCAACAACTCTGCCTGACCCTCTCTTTCTTTTGGCGAGTCAAGTCGAGGCAATGAAATGCCGCCAGTTGCCAGTTACTTTTACCAGGGAATTCCAAAAAAGTTCCTTGAACCAGTAAATAAGTAAGGAAAGTGCCTACCACTGAAGAAAATTCGAAAGAACTGGAAAATATATTTATAGCTCGGTTTGCAAAAATTATTACAAATCCAAAATATGATCTATAGTTCTTAAAATTTTTTTTTCCTATCCTAGCCCAACCTTTTTCATACAATCCTATGCAAATTTCAACGTTTCCCTTAAAAAGTAATAGGTAATTTCGAATTATAAATTGTAATTTCAAGAATTTAATCACGTATAAGAATTTTTGCTGTGCCAAAAAATGTCTTGGAAACTTTGAGCCCAAACCCCGCGACCCGAGGACCGCAAATTGTTTAAAACAAGCATTGAACAAAAAACACAAGAGCCAACACAAACAGGCGGCACATTTCCAGGAATAAAGCCAGAGGAAATTGTGGAATGGGAGGGGAGAAAAGGGGGTTGGGAGGATACGTCAGTTGGCATTAGGCCCTCAACTATAGCCAAGGCCAAGTTTTGGGGCCCAATCTGTGGAGCAACCAGCAACCGACGACCATCGCATCGACGGCCGAAAGGCAATGGAACCGTAAATTCTATTGCATGACTTGATTAAATTCGCATGCAACGCTGACCGGGCAAAGCTCCTCCCAGGACCCCTAAAATCCTACCTCCCTCCACCGCACCACCCAACACCCACCACCAGGTCAAACAAAGACCAGCCGGCGACGTTGGCCAACTATGCCATAGCTGGAATTTCTTGGCTATTTGCAAGCAGCCTTGGCTCCTGGCTCCTGGCTTCTGTTTTTACTTGTGGATTTTGCCTTTCCCACGACCGTTTCCTCATTTTAACGTTTTAACGTGACTTAATGAAGTTTCAGTGTCACAGCAAAAGCTGCTGCTCTGCTCTGCCCGGTTCCTCTCCGGCTGTTAATTTTATGATGGATTTTATGCAGAGAGCGCCAAAGGAAACTTTGAACTTTAATAAGTATGTGTATGCAAGCATTTAACTTTGCCAACGTTTCGTGGATTTTTCCCCTATTTTTTCTTCTTTTTTTTTATTTTTTATTTTGACCGGAACTACTTCTCCATCTCCACCGTTCGAGCCACGTTAAGCTGGCTGGCTGGCTAGCTAGCTGGCTGGCTTCTTTTCTATGGGAACTTTGCTAAAATATGCTTCACAGGGCTTGAAAGCATTTGAAGTAATGAAAAAGAAGCGAAAAAAAATTGCATCCAACAAGTAACCACCCACTCTCACACACGCACACTCAAAAAAAGTGGTTTCCATGGGAGGAGAATAAGGGGGTGGTGTAACTATACAGCGAAGCTGAGCAAAATTTAACGAAGCTTAACCTCATTCAATGTGAAAATACACTTTACGTGTACTTTGCGCTGTCATTTCGGGCGCAACTCGAGCAGCAATTGTGCAAATACTTTGTGCCGAAAGTGCGGTGACTGGGGGCGGTGGTGGGCTGTGGGCGGTGGCGGTGAAAGGGGGCGTGGCTGAACCGGTATATAGGTGGCGATGCGATGCCAACCTGGTGAACTTTTCAAACTTAAATGCAGAGCAGAATGATGAATGATCCAAAGATGCTCGGCTAGCAACCCAAAGAACTCACTTTATCTCCATGTTTCGCCGACTTTCTCTTAGCTGCTGCGGAAATATTTGATTTCCCGCTTGAGGCAACTACACTGAGTACAAATGGTTGTCGCTTTCCATAAACAGAACTTAAATATCAGGTTTCAAGTCGTACGCCTGCACAGAAAGCATTTCTAATAGAATTAATATACATTGGAAAAATTAGATATGAATCTTGTTTAACCTTCAATATCTAAAAATATTTCCTGACTTCATATCAATAACCTATTTTTTTGAGTGAAAGCTAAAATCGCAGAAAATCCTATTTTCTCAAAGGTTCTTTAAAATTGAATCACTTTTGCTTGAAAGTGTATTGTTGTTCGAATGCGAGTGACTGTGCGGGGGGAGGGGGAAAGGTGGGGAGGCGTGGCAGGTAAATTATGCAAGAACATCGATACCGAATGTCGTCGACTGCATCCAATTGAAAACGGAAAGTGCTGCAACCCGAGATCTTAGCCGGGTTTCATATGGCCACGAATCGCCGGCAATTGCACTTGGCAAAGACCGCACCGCAAGCGAATGAAACGCACGTCACCCAGCGTCACCATTTGTGCAATCAAACATCGAAATGGCCGCGACATTGACCGCAAGCCTCCACAGTGTGAGATCGGATGCGGCTGGGAGCCCAACCTTCGCACAGTGATTAAAAGCGTGGGAAATCTGCTTAAAATGCAGTCAAATTGGAGGGTTTCTTAAGTATCTGACACCAAACATTAGTAGGTAATAGATTTTTAAATTCCTTGAATTAATGTATGTATAAAACATCTAGAAAATATTAGGAAAATAGTGTAGAATGAATTAGTAAATTAACTTTTAAACTTAAAGAAATCAAATATACTCTTTAAATACTTTTTAAAATAACTTACACATTTGTCCAAGTTAATTTTTTGATTTCAAAAATTTAAATCGATAAAAAGCCTTTAAAAAAATTTGACCTTACTGATTTGGTAAAATTCATTCATCTAAATGAATAAAATGAACTATTTATAAAACCTCAAAATGGAAAATAAATTTTTATTTTGATTTGTAATTAAAACAGACATTTTAAAGACAGATGTAAGTAAAAGCCTGTTTTAATTGATTTGATTAATCTTTTTCCCACCTCAGCCCACTGTTCCATAGGTCGATGTCCATTGCGGCACTGCAATTGCGGTGGCTGCGGATTTTGCGATTGTGATTGCGGATTGTGCGGCCAGCGGATCGCCTCACTCACCTCACTTGCATCTGAAAGGGACAATCTGGACGACGGCTCCGCTGAGTGAAAGTGAGGGCCTCCACTTACACAATCCGGAGCCGAGAGCCAATGAACTTGAAGTGCCGGCGACTATCCAATTACAAGTAGTGCGCTTCATATCCATCCGTTTGAAGAAGGGTGGGCGTTATAAAAACACCAACGCGATGTCACAAATTTGCATTTCAAAGCGGACCAGCTGCATCCAAACACGCACTTCGCTCGAGGATTTGAATTGGTGTTGGGACACAGGATTCAGGACACACACCCACCGTTATGGGGCCGCCAAAATCCGGCCAAAGCAATGGCCCACATGCCAACAGTTCATTAATGATCTATGCATTAATGTGGCTCTCGTTGGCCATGACAATGGAGGCCCTAGATGCCCCACTGCCCCTATCCCTGGCGGATTTCCCCCTGATGGCGCTGGAACAGGGCAAACACCATTACCAGGAAGCGGGTGTGGAATCGTTGCCGGGATTAACAGGATATACGCGAAATTATTATGGCCCCACTGACACTGCAACGGCCGATGACTTGGCAACATATGGAAATTATGCTCACAAGCTTTTTGCCACCCACCACGCCAATTCACATCCACATCACACCATACCATCCCTGGGCACCACGGCCAATGGCTTTGTGCCCTTCTACTACAACAGCAAACTGCATTCGCACCCGCAATTCCACGAGGACGAGGAGCCGCGTCGCGACCCATCGGCCAATATCGATTTTGTCATTAATACGGCAAATTATGAGCCAAATTCCGCTGGCTATGAGGAGGAGCCTCGTCACAGGGAGCACTACTATGGGCCGCGGGTGCCGTTTGCCACTGCGACGCCTCCCAGTCATTACCATTTCGAGCAAATTTCCAATTATCGGGAGAACCGGCAGGAGAAGGAGGAGCACAGGCAGCAGGAGCAGGATGACGCCAGTGTCTATGAGCGGCTCAAAGAGCTCCAAAGACTGGCTAACCCAGTGAAGCGTCAGCAGGAGGAGTCCTTGGCGAGTCACCATCAAAATCAGGAGCAGCCAGGCAGACATTTGCCACAGAAGCAGCAACCTCTACGAGATCAAAGACAGCAACAGCGATTGGGAGTTGCCCAGGATCAGCAGCTGTTGTACTCCCACAAGGATGGCCAAATTGCCGATCTCCCAGCCATAACCACCAGTGTTCGTCATACCCCGGAGAGCAGTAAAGCAGTGGCTGGATTGCCACTCGCCAAGCACATCGAGATCACCAAGAACGTGCCCGTCACCCACTACCAGAAGCAGCATGTGCCCTACAAGCAGACCGTTCAGATGCAAGTGCCCCGCACCGTGATTGCCGCCATTCCGAAGCCCATGCCCATTAAGATACCAGTGGCCAAGACGGTGGCGGTGCCGCAGCTGCAGGAGGTCAAGATTCCCATCGAACGGGTGAAGCCGGTGCCCGTGGAGCGACCCATTCCCTTTGTGGTGGAGCGACGCGTGCCCTACCGAGTGGAGAAGCCGGTGGTTTCGCCCGTCTACTATCCGTATCCCGTCAAAGTGCCAGTGGTGCGCACGGTGGTGCACAAGCAGCGACCCCACTACGTGGCTCCTGGATGGAGTGCCACCGGCAATCATCTGCTGGGTTGAGCAGCCCTCTTTTAAATTCTACTATGTATGCATATAATGTTAAGTCCTAAATAATAAATTCTTAATCTGGTTTCCGAGCTCTTCTGGTCTCCTTTTCATACTCTCTCGAGAGATTTCGAGGTCTTATGTATTAGAAAATAGTATTCATGAAGTATACTACTATTTAAGACAAGTTCTTATATTATGTATAACTTCTTTAACATCCTCAAGATGTATTATTATTTTTGTATTTTGAGTTAGGGTATTTCAGGTTTAGCCCTTGATTTTCAGCTGTTGACCGCCGGGCAGTCAGGCCAAAGTAATTGCAATTAGTGCTTGTGGAGCAAAGAAAAGAAAAGCGGACAGCAACTGCAGAGTAACTCCAAAGCTCCCAGTTTCTAGCTCCTAACTCTGCCAGCAAAACAAAACAAGACATTCCGTGGCGAAGTTGAAGTCGCAGTCAGAGGGCAGAAGGCAGAAGGCAGGTCCCAAATGAAGAAAAGTAGCCGAGTAAAACTTTTTAATTGAGCTAAGATCCAACAAATGCGGCTAATAAATATGTATTGAAGTGCGATGGGCAGGGGGATGGGAAAAGGCTACCAGGACTGACTGCTGCAATGCAAAAGTGGCGAAAGTGCAGCAAAATGCAGCGGCTAATTGCCAAATGTAACTCCGGCAGCAACAACTTTTAACAGCAGCAGAAGGAGCAAAAGTAGAGCCAACAGCAGCAACAATGACGCACAAATAAACGCGACGTTCAACTTCAGCGAGGCGTTAACGAAACAGCAACAAAATTAGCCAAAAAGTAAAGTTCCGCAAGGGTCGCGAGAAGTCGGGCCAGTAGTTTTTGGTGGAAAGTGCTGCAAGTTATTGCCGGCTAATGAAATTAGCTCTAATTGACGCGGGAGCCATTCGACTCCATTTTTGAGGGAGAAATGAGGAACAAGTTTGCACCACACGCAATGTAATATTTTAAATTGCAGCAGAATTAAAGGAAAGTGTCAGGGGAAAATTAACTCCACATATTAAATTATTGATTTTGATGGGCTACACGCAAAATAAAATTGCTTTTAATTGAAAAGGTTTATTTTCATAATTGCTAAAATAAAATAACATTAGTAGGTATTATGCATTGAACTTGATTTTTTTAGGCTTGCAATGATTAAAAAATTTTAAAATCCTTTTATTGAATGTTAAGTTTTTGTTTTGTTGTATAACACGTTTTTTTTCCTTTGTGTAATCAAATTTATCAATTTAATTCGCTGCCGGCCACATTATTAGCATTTATATGCCACGTACCTATGCACAAGGAAACCGCAAAGCGACGGCAACCAGCTAAAAATCAAATATAATAAGCACGCGTGCAAATCAACGCTTGTCTGCGTTGGCACATCTATTCGTTTACGAATGTAAATAGTAAATGGCGCTTGCTGCCGGATAAATGCGCATAAATTCATAATTGCACTGCCCACATTAACCGCTTCGTTAGGAATTTTACTCATCTGACCACTGGTCACCACAGCCGGCGGGCAAATGGGCATGGGCATTGGTCCCGGTGAGCGGTACCCGAATCCAAATCCAAATCCAACATTCCCACTTCGCAGGCCAATGACAAAAGCCGCAAAACGCAATGAACATGGCGCTCCGGTCAGATAGCTGACCGCGAATCTGCTGATGAGACTCCCGCCTGTGCTTTTGTGTCCTGGTGCCCTTTAACCCTGCAACCCTTTAACCTTTAACCCATCAGCACAGTCACTGAAACTGACACTGAGCAATGCCACTGGTTACATTCACGCCGGATCACGGAATTGGATACGATTAATTGACAAACGCATGCTATCAAACTCTTGCTTTTGATTTAAACAAGCTTAAGCAGCCTCTCTTAATGGTCTTCAATAAAACTGATTATACCCGTTACTCGTAGAGTAAAAGGGTATATTAGATTCGTGCAAAAGTATGTAACAGGTAGAAGGAAGCGTTTCCGACCCCATAAAGTATATATATTCTTGATCAGGGTAACTAGCCGAGTCGATCTAGCCATGTCCGTCTGTCCGTCTGTCTGTCCGTCTGTCTGTCTGTCTGTCTGTCTGTCTGTCTGTCTGTCTGTATGAACGCTGAGATCTCGGAAACTATAAAAGCTAGAAGATTGACATTTTGCATGCAGATTCTAGGAGTTCCTACGCAGCGCAAGTTTGTTTCAAAAGGGTGCCACGCCCCCTCTAACGCCCACAATCGCTTATATACGATTTTAAAAATTTCAATATTTCGGAAAAGTAAAAATGCAGTTTAATTGTGTTTATGAATACCTATCAAAATGTAGAAGAAATTTTTTAAATCGGACCATTCGTTAAAAAGTTACGGCGGATCAAAGTTTTTATCTCCACCTCCTTCGCACTCCCTTTAGCGGAGTAACGGGTATCTGATAGTCGGGGCACCCGACTATAGCGTTCTCTCTTGTTTTTTGTATGGATTTGATTGACATGCATTTTATTTTTATCGAAACTTTTAAACCATTTAGCAGTAACGGTGTAAAAAAAATCTGTTCAACAGTTTAAGTGTTAGTCATATTTTAAATGAAAATTTGTATATTTACCCCAATTTGTTTGGTTTATTAAAAAGAAGGAAAGAAAAGAATATTAAACTTCAAGAGAACCTTTTAGTAAAAAATTTAAATATCTAAAATACTATTAAAAAATTCCTTAAAATCTGACTTATAATAATGATTTATTTTCTAAACTCAGATCCTTTCTTGAGTTAATAACTAAAATAAAATACATTCTTTAAATGGTGTTTAAATAAAAGAGGCTCAGAAAAATGTTTCACTAAAAATATATTTGCTTCATTCAATCCCTTCATAAAAAATTGGACAGATATCGAATTGATAACAGTGAATTGAGTGCACATTGCTCAGTAACCACTTGATACAGTGAGATGACAGAACCGAAAAGCGAAAGTGCTTAAATCAACGCCAGGCATCTCCGCCATTATTCCGACTCGAAAAGGGCAGCAAAATGACTTTATAATTTCAAAAATGACTCTGCACTTTCGAGCAGGTAGCCTGGCAAAAAGGGGGCTAGGTTAGCAGCAGCACGGCGACAAAGATAAACATTAAAAATTAATCAGCACTTTTGGCTCAAACTTTGATAATTGCCGGGCGGCCAAAATGAAGCCAAAAGCGTAAACAGCTACAAAAACGCTGGGCAGCAGTTAATGGTGAGAAAAGCGAGGGTGCCAGACGGAGTCCGTTGAAAAATGACAGGCAGCGGCCATCAGTTAGCGCGGAAAAGCAAAGTTTTAACCCTTTTTCGGGAACCCTCTGCTCTCGAAAAAGTTCTGTGCGCCAAAAACAGTCGTTTTTGTTTGGCAAAATTGATGTGCATCATAAAAATTTGCGACTCAGGTGGCAAGTTGTTACTTTTGATGTGCAGCGGGCGGCTTTGACGCGCCCCTTTCTTGATCATTTTAATTGACAAATGGCAAAGTTAGAAGCGGTAGAAAAGGCACTTTACGCCACAAAATTTTGTAGATACAAAAGAGTTAAAAGTCAGTGCGGACAACCGGGCGTATGAGTGATATTTCATGTTTGCCCGTTTAATGGAAGCGCATCACCTTATTCTTACGCCCCATTTGGTCGTAAAGCAAGAATGTTCGGTATATCTTTTATGATTACCATAAACTATTTACACAGAACTTTAATAATCTGGTGCGTGCAGCAGCAAAATGTTTGCAAGTATTTTATACGCCAAAGGATTTATGTCGAGTCACAACATCCTGCAGGATCGTCTGGTGTTTTGCGAGTACGGTGTATGGTATACGATGTGTGTTTGTTTGCTTTGCCGGCAGTGTCTGCTGTGCTGTTGACGCTTTTTACTCACTCACCCCACCCACCGAACCCCCTGAAAAGTTTGCCAACACAAACAGCTACTCAGGCGTATAATTGCCATTAAAGTGCGCTTAAAATGAGCTGAGAGACCCTCGAAACGAGCTGGTTTTATCGAGCTCAATACGTGGCAATGGAGTGCCGGGATGGCCCGGCCTTTATGCATAAGTACGAGTATCAATATTTCACAACTTGGCCCTTCGGGGGAGCTGGCAATTAAGTGCAGCAACTTTCGGTCGTTTCGGAATTTTTCATGCCACATTATTCCTGGAGCGTTCGAGCTCATCTGGCTCGCTCGCAAATTAACCAAGGGGTTTTCGGAGCCGGCTTGCCAGTGTCCGAGCTTCGAACCGAGATGTCCCTAATTGAAGCTCACTGACGTGTACTCGAATATCAGATTGCAATCTATTTTGCCTCAGCTGAATGGCTTCTTAGTTGCCTTTTGAGCAGTGAAAAGTGAAACCAGGGGGATGCGGGGGGCATCTCTCTTTGATTGACAGCTTATGCTTGAAAATGCAGAGATATGATTACCTTTAGCTTGCCTAGAGAATTCTCATCTTGGTGTCAGCAGAGACAATGCAGCCAAAGCAGAGGCAAAATCTGCAGTTGACAGCAGTCAGTTGAGAAATGAAACTAAATGGCTGAAGAGCAAACATTTCCAACACCGGATCATATTTCAAATTCAAACTGTGACCGGCCTGACGAGTTGAGTTCGCCTTCGCCAGACACCAAGCACATAATGAGCAAAAATGTTTAAAATCAGCAGTAGAGCAGCAAATACCCTCGCACACAATAAACAAAGAGGGGGATCCGAATTCATAGCCGTTGACATGCTGACAGCACATTATTTACCTCCTAGCCAGAGAAGGCCAGAGAAATTATGAACTCCGGCAATATTGCAGCGCAATGAGCTGAAGCCAAAGCTGAAGCAATATATAAATTCTGCTCATATATCCGTTTTTAATAAATTAGTTTGCAATTTGCCACGCCTGACTGGCTCGAAGGCTGCCAAGCCAGCAAAAGTTGCAACTACAACGGCTAAAGTGGCAACAACGATGCGCAAGAGGCAAAGCCAAGAACCCAAGAACCTTCTTGGAAACAACACTCACCTTTGAGCCGCACGCAGACACCCATTTCGAGTGCCATAAAAGCCAACTGCACGGCAGAAAGTGCAAAACTACATAATGCCGGTACGTATCATATAGCTGCGATGCACTTCCGTTGCGCAACGCCCTCTACAGGCGTCCGGGCGAAACAAATGTCTGTCTGAGCATGCGAGTTTTGTTGCTCCTACGAAGGACCTGCGATTCTCCGTCTGTTTGCCAGTTATGCAATTGTGAAAAATACGTGAACCTTAATGCCGGGCCAAAGCTTATTTCGATCGTGTGGATAGAAATTATGGTGTAGGAATCTAATACTAAAGGCTTTGCATAATTTTATTAGGATTGGTCTAGATTAAAGCTAATTTTTTTTTGTAAGAATTTTGGTAAAATGAATGTCTCAGATAAAAGGCTTAATATTCAAAATAAATAGCAAAGGCAATCCAAAGGTATATAGAGTAGCCGATCTATTTCCAAACTTGATTATTTTAAAATTTATTTTTCTATAAAATTTAAAATAAATCAACAATAGCCAGTTTATTAAAAATCATTGAATAGGAATCCAGCAAAACGTTCATTAAGTTTAACCCAATTTATATAAGTAGGCAAACACATTTAAAGCTTCTTATTTGGTTAGTTTTGGTTGAAGCTTAGTCTGGATTATTCCTGTTTTATTCATGCAGACTTATTTTGCTTACTTTATTATAATTGCAAACAGGAAATAAGTTTATTTAGACTTTATTCTTTTCAAGTAACCTTATGTGACCTTATTCGAATGCGACCTTTAAGCCCACATAAACCGACTGTTTTGTGGGGAATATTTAAATCAGCGCTGGCCGGCTTTAAGAGCGATTGCCATAAGCCAGTGGCAAGCTAATGCCGTCATTCAATGTCGGGCAATTTCCGGTCCGCAAAAACAGGAGATCCCCACCTGGACGAGCTGATGCTTCGCAAATTCGAAAATTCCGCGAAGGGCAATGGCAAATTGGTAATTGGTATACCGTTAGCGCGCTGCGGACAGGATGGGATGACAATCCCAGTCCCAATCCCAATCCCAAAGAGATGGCTGAAAGGCAGAAAGGAGCCAGGGCACCCAGACGATGTGTAAATCATTTGAGCAAAACGTAGACATAATCTCGAAGCACGGGTATTGCGACTGTGCACGTGCCAGAGGCTTTTATTATTGTCTGTCCGGAGCGAGGAGCAAGGCCCCTAAAAAATTCATAACATGTAGCGCCGCATATCCCGAAAATCCACACCCAAAGACGGCGACAATGTGAGCGCCCATCAGCAGCCATCAGTAGACATCAGCGGCGGCCAAGAGGATGTGGCTGAGATCTGAGGACTGCGAGCTGAGGACTGGGGACTGAGAACTGCGAACTGAGCCACCAGCCATCTCGCTGAGTGGCGGACTTACGTGGCAATGACATGGGGGGATAAAAGTATCATTGCTTTTAGAGAGAGTCCTCATCGCGGGCCTCCTTAGTGCTCCAAATATTACCAGACGGCAAGGCATGGCCCCTCAGCCCATCTTGGCCAGCCATTGTGGCCACAATAAAAATTCGCATTCCCATTATATAGCCATCATTGTTGTTACTGCCGTTCGCACACCCCCGGCAAACATATATATTACTACCTAAATGGTAAAAGTAGGGAAAAGCGGGCTGTGACCGTACACAGCAAAATAATTTGATTAAAGAGGGATACAATAGTCTTAAATTAAGTTGGGCATTTAAGGCAAAAAGGGATTTCTAAGCTCATTTAGAATTTAACTGATATAATAACAGGTACAATAACGATGCAAATATAGAAAGGTAAGTATTATCAAAATTCTTTATTATTAGAATATTAAATTAAATTTTAAACTTATCATATTGTACTTCTTAATAGAAAAAATAATATAAACTTAATTAAATGCAAAATAATTTATTTCAACAATATTTTTTCCGTGTACCCATAACCAAGCAGCAATCAATAAAAACTTCCGTAAATGAAATGAATGCCATTTAATGGGCAGTGGGCGGAGGGGCGGAAGGAGACAAAGCTTAGGAGTTGCGCATCATAAACACTTCAAAAATCATTTTTGGCTAAAAGTTGTGCGAAAATATTTATATAAATAGCTGAACCGCACTCAACTTTTTTGTGAGTTATATATTGCGTCTACAATTTGGAGAGCAAGCTCAAAACTTTCATTATGCAAAAGTTTTTTAATAAAAGTGCAAACATAGTGGCAGCTGACTCCGAAAAATCCCGCTCTCCTTCCCCCGCATTTTAGCCGCCTGGCACACATGCACTTGGCCGTTATTAAAACCAACAGTTTTGTTTACTGCCACGCGGAAGTGAGAGTGTGTGGCTGTGGCCCATCTATTCCCAATTGCATGAAATAAAGTTTGCGCCGACTTTCGACCTTCTACCTGGCCGAGGGAGATTTCATTTAAATTTTAGGCTGGCTGGTGAGAATGATACTTAATTAAACAATTGAGTGCTGCAAATTGAATATACTGATATTGGCATTTGGCTAAATAATTAGTGCAGTTCCCTCGTTATCAAACGTCCAGTGATTTTCTGCCATCCACACAGATTCAGCAACATCAAATAAATACTCTCATTCTCACACATTTGCTTCTAATGTTGGTTCTAATTTAAATTAATTAATTTTGTGTCCACCACAAGCCAAACGGAGCAGAAACTAATAATACATTTTCAGTCAAGGGGAGAGAAAACAGAATAGTTAATTAAATATCATATACTTTTATGTCGGGGTAAAAACAATATTGTGGCATCGCAAAAATGGTACTAATAAAGCGGCGGAATAAAAATCATAATAACATTTTAAATGTTTAATTTAACATAAAAAGTGTGTAAAAAGAGGGGACGAAGCACCATAACACCGCCGCCTGGCGAAAAAGAGCCAACTTACACAGCCAAGTGAGTTGGCAGCGATATTACGTATACGCACGCATGCACATGGCGACAAGGCAAATATTTTGTATGCAAAATAAAGTACTCGAAAAGTCACTTAAAGTGTGTCGCTGGGCGGGGCTGCTTCCTGGTTCCTGCTTCCTAACCGCCTGACTGGAGGGGCATAAAGAGCGTAAAAAATGTTAAATGATAAATAAAATTTACAACCGCAACAACAAAGCCAGCAGCAGCAGCAGCAACAACAACGACATCGCACATCGCCAAACGAACGAACATATGTGGCAAGCGAAGAAGTTTCGCCCTTTTTTCCGCCTCCCCTCGAACGAGCGACATAATAAAATGCAATTTAGACATCAAAAATACACAGTAAATGGAGCAAGAGTAGCAAGTCGCAAGTGGCAGGACGCGAAAATGACGGGGCAGGACGAAAAGGAGGAGCCGCGTGACTGACAGGCGAGGGCCGAGGAACCGCAGCCGCATTCGCATCCGCATCCGCGCCAAACGACAAACAGTCTAAAGCGAGACACACACAGGACAAAGGACGAACGGCCGGGAATACAGAAAGAAAATTCTATCAATTTCAAAAAAAGTCTCTCAAAAGCGGTTTTGTCTCAGACACTCAGAATGTTTTTTTCAGCTTATATTTTGGAAAATTTTTGCATTTTTCGTTAAATTTTATATTATTTTTATCCATTATATAGTATATCTATTAAAAAGTTGCGAGCAAAAAATTAAACATCCGCTAGATGGCGCCAGTAGCTTAAAGGACATGTTACCTTGAACTCCCTCACCTGTTTTATTTGTAAATATTTGTAATTAAGTAACACAAAACTTATAATGGAATAAAGTTGGAATTAAAGAATTAATAAACATTTTTTATTAATCTGAGTTAATTTCAATCCAGCTCATTTATATATTTCACTACATTTAATCCAAAATAAGAAGTTTTATAAATTTACAAGAGTTTAACTTTATATTTTTCTTACAGTGATTTTCGTTTGTTTGAAGTGGAGGCTGTGCGTGCCGGCAAGAAGGATTGCTGGCGAGGAAATTTACTGAAAGCGATATGTTACTCTGCCTTTCCGCATGCGAGCTTTACTCCGCTGTCCAGTGCATATTTAAAGGCAGTGACATACTTTTCACTCCGAAGAATTGAGAAAAAATGGGCAACGGAACAGAAGGAAGTCCCTTGGCCAATTCAATCGGGCTGCAAATCAAAGCAGAGTTGCTGCACAGGTGACACAGGGCAACGGGGCAACAGCAACATGCCAGCGCGTAGCGGGACAACAAAGGTGTGCACTTAATTTAATTAGACCCGGGAACTCGGGAACTCTGGAACCCCCTTCTTTCAAGGCGGGAAAAGGGGGCGCATGATATCCCAACAGCCGCCCACATTTTGGACCGAACTGGCGATGTAATGGTCTGGAAATGGCATTTGGCAGCCTGAGAACAACGGTGGAGAGTGCGCGAGCCTTTTGTGAAGATGAATTTCATTTCATTAAACACAAATTTCATTGTGTGCGCTTAAAGTGAAATTAAATAAATGAGTACGGGGCCGTGGGATGGGGTGCCAAGTGGAGGAAAGAGAAGGGGGAAAGGGTTATGTCCATGACAAATGCACCGTAAAATCGCTGCTAAAAACCTCGGTCTTGCAATATGTGTGTGCGGCGTCTGCCTTTTCCCATTTCCATTCAGCATTTCCCGATTCTGTTGCTGTTTCTGTTTCGGTTTCCGTTCGTGTTTGTATTTTAATGCAAATTGTTGTAATGTTAAATGAGTCACAAAATTGTTGTACATCACGAGGATTAAATGAATTTTAAAACTCGACATTAAAAATGGAATACGAAATGTGCAAAAACTGCATAATGATGTTCGCTTTGGTTTGACGGGGGTGGCGGTGGCGTATGCGTAATGTGCTTATAACTATAACGAAATTCGCGTGCTCTGGATGCAAATGAGGAATGCGCAGGATGCAGGATGCAGAAATGCAGGAAGGGATTTCATGAAGGGATTTTCGTACTCCTACCACCAGCTCTTGACCTTGTGAAGCACTGTCTTGAAGACGGGCACCTTGACGGGAAAAGGTTTGGGCACCTTGATGGGCACATATTTGATCACCTGATAGGGCACATGCTTCTCCACCGGCACCGGGATGTGTTTCTCCACGGGCACGGGTATGAGTCGCTCCACTGGCACCTTAAGCTCCTTCTCCACCGGCACCTGGACATTTTTCGTGATCGGTATGTGAATGGGCACGGGTTTGCGAACTGGTATGATGACCGCATGCGAAATGGGTATCTTAACCTCCTTCTCCACCGGCACATGCTGCTTCTTCACATGCTTCACCGGCACATAGTTGATGATATCCACATGGTGCGAGTGGTGGCTGTGACTCTGACTTTGACCCTGTCCCTGGCCATGACCACTTGCCTCCGACAAGTAGTTGGAGCTCTGCTCCTGGCCAGCATCGGGATGCTCCTCGTAGTCATCGGCACCAGATCCGCTCGAGGCGGATGAAGCCGATGCCGCACCGGAACCAGAGGCTGATGGGTCATGTTGGCCGAAATACGAGGAGTGTTGCTCCTGCTCCTGTTGCTGTTGGTAAAGTAGCTGCTGTTGCTGATGTTGCTGCTGCAGCTGCTGGTGTTGCTGTTGCAGCTGGTGGTAGAGTTGCTCCTGCTGGTCGCCGTATCCCGAACCCGTTTCGTACTGCGGCAGGAAATTGCCCGTTGAAATTTTATCGTACGCATACGGATGAGCCGCCTGCTGTTCCTGCTGTTGCTCCTCGGGCAAAGGCGACCAGGAGTCGTAGCCCTGCTCACCACCAGATCCCGCTGACCCGTAGGAGGGTGGCAAAAATCCACCAGCATCACTATGACCACCGGGATAATTGTAAATCGGCGAATGCTGCTGCTGCTGTTGATTGTTCTCCCCATTTCCCGAGCCAAATTCATGAGCTCCCGCTGCCGCAACGGCGGCCACCGCGGCGGCATCTTCATTGTGCTCCTCGTAAATGGGTATCTCATGCTTGTTGGAGCCCAGGGCCAGTGCCTCCGTGTGGGTGGGTGCCACCGAGCCGTAGCCATTGCTGATGTGCCCCAGGCCCGAGAGATTTGTGAGTCCGTTGAGCACCGTGGCCAATCCTTGCCGGGAGCCTGAGGAATGGCCGTGGCTGTTGCTGCTGCTAAAGGCTCTCCTCTCACCCGCATCGCCGCCTGGAATTTTGGCCGAGCCATACCGATGATTGGGATGATGATGCTGCTGCTGCATTGCTTGATCCATTGGCAGCCATCGATTGTCGAACAAAGAGCCCATATTGTGATACGCTGGGTGGTTCCTGGCCATCTCCGCGGAGGTGGAGGCACTCACAATTGTCAGGATGGTGGTGGCGGCTGCAATGAGCGGCATCTGCTGCAGAGGATTATACAAAACGATTTAATATGCAAAACACTTCAGACGAGCTAGGTGGGAAGCAGGTAAAACGAGAAAGGAGTCGCCTAAAAAATACTTCTAATAAAATTCTGTATTTAAAATAAATTAAAATAGACTAACAACATGCTTATAAATAAAATCCTTGAATAAACACTTTGAAACTATATAAAGTTGTCAAAAAAACAATTATTTATATTTCTTAAAAAGTTAAAAAATATTAACAACATGATTAATACAAATGTTTAAAACATGGTGAAAAATCACTATTATTCCTTAATCCTTTTTTTAGGATATTTAATTATTGGGTTCTAGTTTTCTTTTTTAATTTTCCTAGCATTCAACGTGCTTTGTATTCCAAGGGTATCAGCTATAAAAAATTGCTGAATGGCATGGCTTTGTATTCCAGAATTTTTGCATAATGCATTTTTAATATCCTTGACGCCGCTGCAATCCATTCCACACTCACCAAATTAACGTTCGCCATTGGGCCTGGTGGGCTTCGAACTCTGGCTGGGATGGTATTGGACCTTGATAGCTGCTGCCCGACTGCTGCGATGGGAATGTGGCCAAAATGTGGACAACGCAGCGTTTTTATATGGCCCGCGACTAGGACAGATCGGCTGAGAGGAAAGCTCTTACACAATTTGTGTTGATAGAAGGCGGTCGGCCGAAAGTGAGTGTTTGCCATTTGTGTTGACCCGGCTAAAACGGGCTGCCTGTTGCCTGTCTCCTTGGCCGCTTGCCATTTCTCTCGCATTTATGAATTAAGTTACGCGATCAATTCAAATCGCACAGCCAAGCCAAACCGAGAAGAAAATGTAATAACCAAATCATAGTATAAAAACCGGATCCCAAACACTTGGAAAAACAATAAAGTTCAAAGTCATTTTCCCTGACAACGAGACAAGGAATTAGTCGAGTTGGCACGCGCCTCCATCCCAGTGCAGCTTCATTATGATCTCGCCACGATCACGATCTCCAGTGGCCTTCATCTGGAAAAAAATAAACCTGCACTCCTTCAGTTTGGCTGGGATTGCAGTGAAGTGGTTGGCCAAAAGTGGTTGGACCGCTTCGGGGGAAGCTGGACAAAAGCTGATGGCTGTGATTCCAATCCATTTCTCTGGGCCCAACCGCTGCTTAAGGCCTTAAACATTTCCATTTGCCATTGTTTTTGGGGACTTTCCTTCACCTTTTCGACAAAAAAGGTTAGTTTTAATTGTTTTAACAACGTTTTTTTTTTTTGGTAGACCATTGTTCGGTTTTGGTTTTTCTTCGTTTTTCTTGGCTCAGCAATGGGGCGTGGCAGGGGGCGAAGTGGGGTGGGCTAAAAGTGAACGCCTTTTAAGTGCACCTGCAGACATGATGCTGCTGATTATATTTTTCTTGCCAAGCGTAACAGCTCGTTAGTATTTTCAAGTGATTTTCATTTATTTTCCTTGGCTGCCTTTAGCTGCAGATGCAGAGACCAAGAGACCAGAGACCTGAGATGGAAGAAAGGCCAGGCCAAAAAGGAAGTGTACTGATTTGAAAGGAAACAAACATTTCCCAGCTGCCCAGCTCTTATCGCTGCTCCCTCTGCCCTGCCAGTCACTTTTCAGGCTATTTTTTTAAGCGAAATTCACGCTTACTTCATTTCAATTACAATTACATGATTCCATTTCTCTCGCTCGCCGCTCGCAAATGCAAAAATGATGTAACTTAGTGGAGGCCAACGCGATTATACCAGGTTGTTGCCGCCTCCTCTTATATCCAAAATTTAAATCCCCTTTATATCACCGTCCTATACCGTCGAACCAATCAATAGCTTTGAGCTCGCACAAATATAAACAACATGAAATCGCTTTTTAAATACTATATTTTCGCTTTCCATTTATGTTTTTTATTTCTCTGTGCTTTTGGGCCACAGCTCAAACAAATGACACAGATGCAGATCCATATTCAGATACAGATACATATGAAGAATGCAGTTGGTACGGATGCAAATGCTGAGCGGGTTATAAAATAAATAAAACCGTTTCACATTTTTGTGCTGTGCTGGACGCTTTGCTTTCGAGTCGGTTTTAAAACTCTTTCAAATGTTGTGTAATATTTTGCCAGCCCGTATATTTCTTCTTTTTTTTTTTGCCCCAATAAAACAAAACACCAAAAAAAAAACTAAAATATGCATTTGAAATGCCAGTTTTTCGGGGGGTGCAAAAGCGGATACGCCTGTCGCTCGAATATCCTTGTGCAACGTGCTCATATTTGCATTGTATTTATGCACAGTTTTATTGTTGTTTATTGAAACTGTGCGGGGTGCAACAAAGGCTATTGGAATTTCTGTGCCTAAATACGAGTGCCAACAAAACTAAGCACACACTTACATTTTGTCAACTGGTCCATTTTCAACACCACAAACCTGGTTATGTCAACCGGAAAATAATAGCTGGAATTTTAGGCTACCGGAATTGGGTATCTTCGATGGCAACGAAAGAATCTGGCACTCTCGACACATTTTGTGGGTTAGATGAAAATTATTACCATTATAATTTACGGGTATTTCACTATATTCTTTAATATGTTGCAGTTCACTTTTATTGCAGCTGCAAATCATTTTAATGGAAATTAAATTTTAATTGCCTTGATTTTTAACATATGAAAATAACAAAAATACTTTTTAATGATTTGGAAACTTTTTTTCCATAACATTAAATCCTAAGTATAAAAAAAGCTAAAATTTCGTTTTTAAAAGTTTCTATTTCCTAAAAATTTGACCATATATTGGTCGTAACTTTTCCCCCTCTTGGTCAAAACCAAAACAGCTTTCTTAAGCTGCTGTTGACCAATTTTATACTTTTTTTTCTCCCCCTAAAAATCGACGTTTGCGTGCTGAGATGCTTGGCATTGGATGTGCAGGAGTACGCCCCGGCGTATACTTAATTGCGAGCGTGTTTATTATCTGGCTGTGCTGAACGTCATGGTCGTAAATTAAAATGACACGCTTTGCATATCCTCCCCACCAACACATGCAAAACGGCACATTCACACACACACACACGGCAGCAATAAAAATTTTAATTATTCAATTAAATTACACTCGAAGGCGTTGCTCCGAGTTCAGAGTTCAGTGTTTGGCGAAATGCGAAATGACTGACGGCTCATAAAATTGACACCGCCGCACTTGCACGAACAGGAGGAGAGAGGAGCGCGGAGTGTGGAGTCCTTGTGGGCTCAAGGACAATGCATTCGCACGGCGAAATCGTATAAAAATCATGTTTATTTAATTTGCATTACAAAAGGACCGTTGTCCCAGCCGCCGCTCGTTAAATTCACTCCACGCCCACGTTTTAAAAAACAATAAACCGTATAGCAGGGGTAGCACGTAAAATGATTAGCAAATATGCCCCCGAAATAGGCAGATACGAGGGACTAGGGGAGGGGCTATGAACTGGGGGACATTAAAGCCCGCCAAGGTGGGGCAGCGGACTTAAAGGAAGGTGCTTTCAAGGGGCCGCCGTTGGGCACGCAATCCCCTCAGCGGCCGGGGCATTGAGGCAAGGCACGCATATTTAATTAGCTTCATGCACTGCCGTTTTGTGGGTGGCTGGGTGTTTGTTCCTCCAAACCCTCCAACGTTGGAGGTTTGGAGGGTGATGGCATGTCCAAGTGGGCGGACCTCGGGAAGTTAGTGACCGCACTCGAGCAGGGCCACAGTGAAGATCCTCTCTGGGGAATCGCCTGCGCCAGATTTGATTAGGTATTGAAATGATAATGGATTACAGGCGGCCTGATTGCGTGGGTCAAGAAAATATCTAGTGGCTTACGAAAGTGATTTGCTTGTAATAGATACTCTTAGGGGTTTCCATTTAAAGTTGCACAACAAGAAGCTATTCTTCTTTATTTAATTTACATCCTTACGAATTACTTATTAAATTATTTAGATAAAGTTACTAATAAAAAGTTACTTTTGCTTAAACGAATCAATTTCACTTTGACTTGAATTCTTCATAAAAATTGATTTTTAAAATGTTTAAATATTTTTCCCTTTTCAAGAATTCCAGTAAAATTTTTATATTTCAAATTTCGCCGATTTTATTTTATTAATCCTCACATAATTATAACAAATGCTTAATGAAAAATGGTTGAACAAGTAATTAAAGTCGTATTTTGTTTCTTATTTGTGCTGTGCTGTCCATAATTTATTATTGGCAGATTTACAAATTGGCGATTTTCCAGCACAAATTGGTTTTAAACAACTGTTAGTAGATAAACAGATGCAATTTTAAAATAAAAGGTACAACAAACTTGATTGGAAATTACAGATTACTTATTAATTGTCTGCGATGAAATCTTTTCATTGGCAATTAATATCTATGCATTAAAATATGATTTGTATAACATAAAATCGATTTTAAAGTTGTTTATGCCGATGATATCTATGCAATTATTACTTGAATGGATTTTGCTTGATGGAGAATCTTTGGCAGGGCTTCACCGTACCACTTTATTTCTACTCCGTGTGAGGGAATATGAGCTGAAGAGCCGACGAGGCACATTTTATATGCGTGTCCATGTCGTTTCTCTGCTGATTTCTGCCGCTGTTCACTGGGTTTCTGGCTGTTGTTGCTCTTGTTCTCGCATGTATTTGCAGTTGTAGTTGTAGTTGCTGTGTGATTAATTCGCGCAAAGAGTTGTGCGCTTCCGTTTCCGGTCGCCGTTGTTGTTGGTGGCACTCCACTTCGCCGCTCGAGCTTTTGTGCTTCACATTTCACATTTCACAGGAGGCTGATTTATGCTTAGCTGTGGGTGAGCTTGTGGGCGGGCCACAATATTAATTGTTTTGTGCCCAACGAGGCTTAAAAACACATGCTCATGTAAGCCACGTCCGCTGCAGTGGCCTCCACATCTTCCCACATTTATTCTTTTTTGTTTTCACCCAAAGCCCCCCGCTGGCCTTTTCATGTTCATGTTTGAAAAATCAGAAAACGCACATGGATTCGGGATTCAGGAAGAGGGATCTGGTGCAAAGTGGAGCGGTGGCGAGGTGCCCAACATTTGACGCTTTAGCTTGGCCCCAAACATTTAAGATAAGAGCGCCACAATGGGTTCGTTTGTATGCCATTAATATGAAAATCAGACACACTTATCTTAATTAGTTAGTCGCTCATAAAAGGGCCAGCTGGAAAGTCAACCAAGCAGCTCCTGGGACATAGTTACCGGGTTTCAGCTAGCCAAGTGTACCTACAACTGAAACTAAACACACACGCAACCGGTTTCGTTCGTATTTTATTTTTTACATTTCCCCTCGTGTTTGTTTTAATCATACGATATTTCCAGGGGGTGTGTTTGCCTTTGTGTGCGGCTTCTAATGTGCCAGCATATACAAATTATGGTACTTAACATGTAATACTTAATTTTGTAGAACAAGCGACGCGTTTAGTTTTGGGTCTCGTTCCCTACGTCTGTTTGCTCACCTTTCCCTTTCTGTTTTGTTTTGGGGTCTCT